TTCTTTTATACTCATATTTAATACTTAATTGAAACTTGTAAGTAATTTAATGTATCACATAATCTCAAATATCATCTTTCATCAAATAAATTCATTTGTACAAACGATCTCATTTTTACTTTCACATTCGACGGTTCCTTATATGGTGGTTCAGGCCAACGACGTATCTGCAACAATACAGTTGAATGAATGGTTTGCCATGGATGTGTAGAGGATCGTTGTTGAGTGCCGTATCTATTCATTCATTTCATGTTTCGGAAACGATATCGCCTAAAATTCTGTGATTTTCATCGATCATCTAGGATTCTCAACCAGTTAATGGGAACTCTCTAATTATATCCATGACTGACCACCATCGAGAAAACAACTTGTTCGATTGTTATTTGCATGCAATAGCTTTACTTATATCATGCACTACTTCGTCCACAAAAATTATTTTGCATTCCAAACGAATTGTTTCTCCTTTGACCAGTTAGTGTTGTTGACTTCAGAAAAAGGCAGGTGTTTTTTCTCACGCGAGCTCATTTAACTGATGAATTTTGGAGTTTTTTCGGTCATACTTTTGAATTCATGCATTAAAACTTGCAACATTGACGGCCTTTGAGAAAGGATTTGTATCAGACGGACAGCGAGACGCATACGAAAGAGAAATGTGAAGTTTAAAATGAAAATTCTGCGGTATTCTCGTAACAGTGACTGATTGGTTTCGGATTGTTTCTATGCAAACGTTCAAAAGTTTCTATTCGAGCCAAATGATAATATGATGTGTCGGCCAATTTCAGGTATAAATCGCAATCATTGTGCTCCAAAAAGCAGCAGTGCTTCGTCTAGTCCGTAGAATAGCAGCAGTGAGTAGTGTTAGAGGAATGTCTTCAGATCAACAACCTCTTCAAGCGATTATATGTCCATCAATTCTGAATGCAGACTTATCGAATTTATCAGCCGAATGCCAGCGATTACTGAGTAATGGTGCTGATTATCTGCATTTAGATGTGATGGATGGTCATTTTGTTCCGAATCTTAGCTTTGGTCATCCAAGTTAGTTAATCCGTCCGTCTTGAATATTCAGTGGTTTTTGTTTTTGATCGACTGACTTTATGATCATAAAGTTGATGTAAACAGTGTGATTATTTATTGGATCATTAACGATGAGAACTTTCACGATATCGAAATAAGTCTATGAATTTGGTTGTTTGCTGAAAGGTGACGATGAACTTTCCTTCGAATTATTCTCACAGTTGCTACTCGGTTCAGTGACTTGAACTTTGGAAAAAGTTGATTGCATCTATCGCTGAATTCAATGAAAAATCGTTTGAGTTGTTGAATGTCTACGAAAGAACCTTGGCGAGGAACCGTTCTTTGATGTTCACCTTATGGTCACAGATCCGGTACAGTGGTTGGCACCGATGCAAAAGGTGAGCCGTATTTCGATTTGAAAGATTCATTCATTCACTGGTTCCTTCATCGAATGATATTTATTCATTCATGTAAGGAGTGGAATGATTCTCTTCGTGGTCGATTCAAGAATTCTCATCAAACATTTAGACGAGGTACTCTCCAATGCAGTAGAGTTTTTTTTTGGCCATTTCAATGTCTGTAAGCTTCTACTTATTGCATAAAGCACATGCATCTTTGCTGAATAACTTTATATGAATTATTAAAATTAAAAAAGAGAAATAAAATATATGATATATGANTATGGCAATCAGCTATTGATTGACTTCAGTTGCCTCACATTTAGCCTCATCCACTTGAATCAGACTCGGGTTTATGTGATGGTGCTGAACTCAGGCGAGTGGAGAGGTTGATCGAGTGAGTTCCAAAGAATGCTGAATAATACATATGCTGTTGTTGAGCATTTCAACTAAACATTCCAACTCATTCATTTAATCATTAGTGTCACTTTGAAATTTCATAGAATATATTTCAGAAGAAAATTTTTCCATCCATCAGATACACATGATATGATTGATTATGTGTTTAATTATAATTCATTTGTTCAGCCAAATTCAAAGAATGAATTCACTAGTAACATTTCCGAAATCAAACTCTCATTGTAATAAATAAGAACCAAGTCGATCGTAATTTCTACTCTTTCAAATCGCTCGACATATTCTCATTCGACGTTCCACATCTCTACCCCCACCCATCGATTCCATCCCGTCTAGCAATGATAATCACATTTATCAAATGCGCACATATGTGTCAATCAGCAGCCAAACAATCGCAGAGTACAAATTCAGCCTATTTTATTCTTCTGTGAAGATTTCAGTTAAACTACTCCAAAATGACAGAGTTTTAACAGTTTATATTTTTCGCGCAAATAAAGACCATTGTGATGGTAATGGTAATGTTTATGTGTGCGTATTCGATGACATCTTCGAGGCTTGTTGCTTGACGTTGACGTTGATGAAGTTGTTGACGGCGTTGTTGTTGTTGTTCGATTTTTTAGTCTGATCTTGACGATTGATCTGGAACTCTTTTTTGGTGGACGTAATGTCGACTCGATGTAATTTGCCGAACTGGGAGTCGGACTTGATCGATTGACTATTCGGATTGATTTGTGTTGCTTTTGCGAGAAGGACGGAGCAGAACTTGGATTCGTAACAGTGCTCGTAGGAAGAGTTTCAGTGGATGAATGTTTCGTTGATGTTGGGGAAAATTTGAGCTTTGTGATTATAAGTTGAACGTTTTGAATCGGTGCACCAATGAGAAAGTGATTCTTGAACGCACGAAGACGTGTTGATGATAGCGCTGGAAATTTCAAATGTCATAATCACATATCGAGTGCAAATCGGAGCTGACTTACGATGAGGACTGATGTTTCGGTGCTCATCTCTACCCTAACTGCTCATCTATCGGACTGTCATAAGTCTGCTTCTGTCGATTCATTATGACATTGATCAAGCGATTCCCAGCCGCATTCTCAATTCTCGCCACTTTTTTTCACTAGCATCAAACGATCCTCACCATTGAACTTAACCAGTGTTGTCTTACACAATATACTCAGTTTTCTGGTACAGAAACATTCAAAATGAGAAGCAGTTGATAGGTGACCCTCTACAGACGGATCATTCACCCTTGATTTTGAACACTTTCCGCACTTATCGGCATCCATGCCTTTTAAAACGGTTATTCACTCGATAAAATCAGTCGAAAGCTTGTGGGAACTCTTGCTAAAGATTACAAACTCCAACAAATTCATTTTAATCTAACCGGAACTCAAAATTGAAATATAAAAGGTGAAATGAGTGTTTCTCATTTCATTGACAACATTTTTGCAAAAAACATAGTAGTGCGATATGTTTTTCGTCGGATTATAAAAACGATCGAACTAAGGCAAAAAATTTTGTGTTTTTGTGCAATTGCAATTGCAATCCTCAATAACATTCCAATTTGTGTCAGTTTCATGCCGAATTAATTCCTTTCAATTGCATTTTATTCACCCTTGGGGAATAGACCCCATCCATTCTCAAATTTGCAATTCAACTACACTCAAATAGAGCTCGTTCTTTATCATTTGACGCATTCAAAGCGTAATTCGAGCCATAGGCTATCGTCTGCATGCGTGTTGCAATTACGCACTAACAGTTATACAAAAAAGCAATTCTAAATGACATTTCTTGCTTTTATCACATGAATCAGTTGAGCTTATGAATTCGTATTTGCAAATGAAAAAAAGAGAACTTGTTCAAATGCGAGTGAATGCTTAAATAACCATGCTATAAATCGTTAGGTCAGATTCGAAAATGTTCAAAAAAGGCATGGCGTTCGTCTATCGTAATCGCTATCTACTCAATTCTCATGTTTAGCAACAACGTAGCAATATTTGCCTAGTGCAAATGATACGTTGCATTGAAATTTTTTGAAAGCACATGAAAAATAATGAGATCCCCCGAGAATTATTATTACACGTTTCTCAAAACGGTTTCAGTGGATAATCGGATTATGTTGCTAGGTGAATATTGCACAGACGTTAGCATTAGGCTGGGTAATGTCTACACATGATAACGTTTGAAGAACGCAGTCTCCATTCGCAGAAAAATCACATTGATAACCTTCTACCAGGTCTCGTCACCGTGATCATGTGATATCATTCATCGCCACACCAGTACGCAACAGTTACTTTTCGTTGCGATAGTCGCTCAGTCAAACTGCTTAAAAATACTGAAAAATGTACTGCAATCGATTAACCTTTAATGGGTGAACTTTCATAATGATTTGCCGACAATACTAGAGTCAACAATAATAACAGTAGAATCCTTGTCGTTTTCAGATACTGAAGAATAGATGATTTCTTAGAAGGCATTTAGAAGTGGTCGACTTGAACGTTTTTAGATTTGCACGTTTTTTATATCGATATCACTTTTTTTTAAATAACGGATTATGAATTAAGATCATGAAGACGAGGTCAGAGGTAAGATGTATGCGTATCTCACATACAGTAGAGTACTAATAGTTAGGTTAGTTAACGGTGATTGATTAGAATATGAATTTGTAAGAGTGGAAGTCACCAACAACTCAGCAACAAGGACAGTCCATCGAATTGTGAAATCTCGGAAGCTTAATGGCTAAACGTTCGGAGAAGGCGGAGAGTTGAGATGGGAAAGCGAAGCTGAANGAGCACAGATGCTTCGGCTCATGCATTTCAATTCATTTGGAATCGTTTATTATTCGCCTGAAATAGCAGATTAAGTATTTATTAGGCTTGTTGTATGCGTCACAGGCCTGAGCATGTATGTGTACTAGCTTCTTATCATTGTACGATGTAGCTGTATGTATCTGTCTGTTGCAAAAAAAAAAAATGCATGAGTATGAACGGATTAATGTGAATGGCATAGATGTTCTTTTGTTTGTGCCTTAAGGTGGCTGTATTTGCCTTAAGATGGCTGTTTAACAACAATTCTTAAAATGGATTGATATGATTGATACTGGTGATTGTGCATCAACATTGAGGGCAAAACATCTAAAAGATGCAAAAGAATCGCGAAAAAACAGTTAGACATGTGAAGTGATTCTTCTAACGTTGCGTTGCTTTACTGGTCATGTTACTCGCGGACTCGTGATGTTATAGTTCAGTGTTCAAGCTATCGATCAGGCTTCATCTCCGCGCAGTGCCAGCATCCATTTTCCGCTTGACCAACTATTTAATTAACGCTTCCAAAGCTGAAGAGATCGAAGAGGAAGTTCTTAGAGCTCTCCGTTTCTGGTGTTATATATACATATAAAACTAATATTTGTGATCTTATCAGATGAATGCTGCAAAGATGAATGAGAAGAGAAATAGAAAACGAAAGATATTCTCAAGAATTACGAAGTGTATTAATCAGTGATGTGATTAATAGTGATATTTTCAAGTTATCAATCTTGTCAAATTATTTGTCCCGTGAAAAATTTCGCTGATTTCATTGAACAGTGAATTCAACCGATATTATCGAATGGTATCGGGAAGAGTGTTGGTTCATCTTCTGGAATGATTAAAGAGTCGTCGACATAAACTTGAATGTTTCTAGGCTGGCGCCAATCAGTTCACATTTCACTGGGAAGCGGTTCATGCAAAAGGTGGCGATAACGCGATTGCTGATGCGATTAAAGCAGTCAAACAAGCTGGTTTGAAGGTTTGTTTGAATGAATGGCATCGGGAATTTGTAAGAGTGCAAGTCCACAACAATTCAGCAACAAGGACAGTCCAGTTGTAGCATGATGTTCAGAGCAGCTTTTCAGCAAGAATACTTAACAACTCATCGTTTGAATAGCACATCAGCATCACTTAATAGAATTTGTTATCTTTTTGAATGTTCTCGGATCGTTTGCGCATTTTAATAAGCACTATTGAAGAGATGCTTAAAAAACTGAGCAATCACATCAAAATGTTCTTAATACAATTCCACATAGTCTGAACAGTACTCAATACTAAGCGATGAATAGGAAAAGAGCATTCCATTCATTTTCAACTAATCAGTACAAGCCCCTTAAGCTGAACGTTCCTGTTGGTTGTTTTCATGCAATGCTTCATACATACAAATTTCATGCTAAAGTGCCAAGATTCTCATGGGATTTTTCAAATTTCATTTTTGACAGATATTCCGACTTCGAATGAATACTTTGACGGTGATATTTTGTTTGAGGAGGGATTTTTGTTTCAGGTTGGTCTAGCGATAAAACCAAAAACACCTGTTGAAACTGTATTGCAGTTCGCGAATGAGATCGATAACGCACTTGTGATGACTGTGGAACCAGGTTTTGGAGGTGATGAGCATTCAGAAGTTTTCACTTTTTGATGGAAAGAATTTTTCTTTGAAACATTTTCTCTTCTGAACAATATGCGAGCATGTATAAGAAGGTTTGAGAGTCAAAATTCAATGCGAAATCATTCAAAAACGTATCATAGTTTGGCCGTAAATTTTAAGTGTGCTGTTCGTTTCTGCATTCTGTTAGCTGGTTTCGTTTCGATCGTTCATTATGAATATTAAGGTCAAAAGTTTATGGCTGATATGATGCCAAAAGTGAGTAAAATTCGTGAGCGTCACCCGTATTTGAATGTTCAAGTGGACGGTGGGGTGACCGTCGAGAATGTGGAAATATGCGCGCAAGCTGGAGCGAATTTAATTGTTTCCGGCACCGGGGTCATTAAAGTGGCTGATCAAAAGAAAGCTATCCTGGTCAGTTACATCGTTCTCTTCTTATTAATTAGCCTTAGTCGAACTGTTTTGTGGAAATGAAGAGAAACTTAGAGGAATGCAGTTTTTTTATTTTGGTTCTATGATATGTAATAAATGTAAAAACAAAAAAATATTACTCGTATACGAAGTTGAAAATTTTCGCAAGAAGATTGTCTATGTTCCATGTTTGAGCACAAAAAAGGTTCAGCTGGTGGATTTGCTAGTTTCAAATCTGAATCTTGAAATTTGATGAAGATTTGAAAATAACTGATAAGCGTCAGCAAAAGTGAATAAGTTAAGCATACCCTGAAATGTTCCCACTTTCATTAATTTCCGTTAGCGAGTGAGCGATTACTTGCGAGGTTCGTATGGTTTCGTTTACGTCATATGTCGGCTCTAACCGATAAAATCATTTCAGGAAATGCGTGAAAAAGTTTCATCAGTCTT